CAGATGGAAAACAATTAAAAAAAGCGCTGGAGGGTTGTCCACAACTTATTGTTTTTCCTGTAGAGTGTACAGTATAAATATACACTATAATTGAATATTTACCTCATGCAACTTGTTATCACATATTACGCTCTCGCAATTAATTTAAAGGTATATTTTCATGTGTCAGAACCAACATTGTGTAGCCATAAAAGAAATCTGACAACAAGCAGTTGTTAAATTCCCCGGGTTATCCCTTAAGTCCTGACAGGGATGAAATGCATCATCAGTCCTCGTGCAGAGAGACATGAGCGTCCAACACCCTTAACTCCCTTCATTGCGGTACACAGCACAGTGATATGAGAGCGTATAAATAGCTTTCCACGAGTGCGCTAACATGCGTACAAACACACACACACGTGTAAGCACGTGAAAACACATACACACACGGACACAAATACACCAGCTGCCATACGCAATGAGGAACCAAGCAGACCTACTCTATTTTACACATCCACAGGGGGTCAATAACTCATTAGAGCTGAGAAAAAAAAGGGGAGAGGCAGCTGAGGGAGATGACACAGCTGTGAGCCTCTGGGCTCTTCACCTGAGGATAAAGGCATGTCATTGTGACCAGAGGTCACCAGGACGATACGAGACTTCATTAGCAGCGTCTCGTAGAACACAGCAGGTTATTTATTTATTTATTTTTTTTACATGTCATTAGTTAATTTTAATCCTTAATTTTTTTTCCGCCTACTGCTCACCCTTAAAAATGCATTATCCTTCAATTGAGAGATAAGGTTCAATGTCCCTCAAATGCTGCTTAAAAAAAACAAACCCATAAGGTTAAACTCCACCCCCTAAAGGCTGCTATTCCAGTTATGCATATTCCAATGTACTGGGCTGTTGGTCTTTAAGGATGTGCAAAGCGCTGAAGCAAATATTTATACGGCACGTCATTCATTTGCTCACTTGTTTGCTTCATCATCTTCTGGCCATACTCAGAAACTCACCCCCAATCATTTCAGACGATTCCGGTTTCCATGTCAGCGACCCATATTGCGGCGAGTGGCCCCTTTTTTTTTTTTTTTTCTTCACAACAGACTCTGGCACATCTCCAGTGCAGGGGACTCATCTGTTTAATCATCACAGTCACTGAGCTGTCTAAAAATAGAACGCAGAAAACAGGCTGCAGCGTGGGCTATATCAGTACACTACTGTGCACAGACTGTTGGAGTCAATGGATCAAATGGGAAAAAAAAAATGGTTTAGGCAGACGGTCTGTGTGTGAGTGTGTGTGTTGTTGGCTTTGGATCAGAGCCTTGGTATTGCTGTATACCACTGAGCACACTGAGGAGCTCTCTATCAAAATACAATACACCCTGTTGCACATCCAGTTCCCAAAGGCCAGAGCATCACTTTAAAGGATGCATGCTAATAACTTGATCCAAAAAGAAAATCCATAAACACACAGCGGAAATAATTACACCGTCTTCTTAGCTCTGTGTCAACATCAATCCTCCAAAACGACCTTGAAACTTCTCGGAGGAGACAACAAACGGAGGACGTTCAAGCATCTTGGAAAATGTCTTCTCTCGCGCGCACGTCACAAAACAACGGCCCACGCTCTTCTGAAGAAATTTGAAGTAAATAAAACATCAGCTTGGCTCTACTCAATAAAAAAAAAAAGTGAATTTTTTAGCTACTTTCAAATGGAAAATGGAAAACTGGTGAAATGAGGAAAGACAGAGAAGAAACCGCAGAAAAGCTAAAAGGCTTTTATTAATACGACAAGTTCATCTTCAACCGTTCAAGGGGAAACGACTACAGAATTTTTAGGACAAATTTCCTTTTTTCTTGAAGGGCTCTAGGTGGAACCTGATTGGTCCTGGTTGGGGATGTTCAACCATACAGACGCAGTATTCTTTCTGCTGCATGATTGCATTCCACCAAAAACTGCATGGTTGCATTCCAGCAAGCATCAGCTTATTTCTAAATAAATCCTCCAAACACTGTGTTATTGTGTTAGTTGGTGATCTCTTGGGAGTTTAGAGCAAGCTGCATGGTTGCATTCCAGCAAGCATCAACTTATTTCTAAATAAATCCTCCAAAAACGGTGTTATTGTGTTAGTTGGTGATATCTTGGGAGTTTAGAGCAACCAATCGCTCCTCCGTTTCCAACGCATATAGGTTTCCCCTACACCTGGGCCTAACGGCAAAAGATGCAAAACAAAATATTGTGCGTAACTTCCCCGTAATGAATGGAGGCATGAGTCCTCCACTGGGGCAACAGTGTAAATAGAAGCAGGACTACGACTGTGTCAGGGATGACATGATGTGGACCAGAAAAGGAACCAGGTGCTTTTTCAAATGACCTCACAATGGGACACACAGAAAGACTCACTTCTATTTCTCCTCCACTCCAGCTCTTTTATAAGGACTGTAAGTTAAAGCACCAACTGTTCACTTCAGTATCAGAAGTGGCTTTAAAAGAATGAGGGAAGTGTCCTTTTTGCACCATTTTCAAGGACTCTTAAACAGTGACTTGACCGTAGGGAGTTCTTAAAGAGTAAAGAGGAACAATACAACAGCACTACTTACAGATAGCGCTAGATCCTTGTAGAAAATTACACAAAAACCAACACGGAGATTTGCACAAAGACTGAGACTTAATTAGAAATGTACTCACACCCAGGCACTGAGTAGCCCCATATTCAAACGTAGAAAAAAGAAAGAAAAAAAACCCCAAACAACAGCTCGATTTAGTTGTCTCTGCCCGTCACCTTTTCATACAGACAGCAGATTGTGATCAATGCCAGGAGCCTTAATTGGTGGGTTACTGTTGTGAAATTTAAGGTGGCAAAGCTGTGAGACACTGACATTTGGTGTCTGTCTGGCATATTAATGAGTTGCCAACCTGTCCTACAAACGCAATTTGAACGTTGTAAAAAAAAAACAAAAAAAAAAACTTGGCAACTGGAAACTACTGAACAAGAGAAAGTTGTACAAATAATGAAATAGGCCTGTGTTTCCTTCAGTTTGTTTACCTTCGCTTTGTTCGGTTTATCATCAGTGCACTGGTTTGTTTACCTTCGCTTTGTTCGGTTTTATCATCAGTGCACTGGTTTCACTGATCCCACTTGATATTGAACACAATCTGGATTTTCTTTTCTCAATAGCATTTATTTTTATTTTTTTATTTTGCACTTTCGACCTCGTAAGTACTTATTTTTCTTTTAGCGGTCGGGAAACTCTAGAAGTTCTAGAATGTTCTATACTTATACAGAGGATTTTTTTTAAAAAAAAAGAACACTTACCTGACAGGATGCTTTGTTGAGTGTTCTTTTCTAGAAAGAGGGAAAAAACAGAAAAATAGACAATTTAGAATTATTACAATATGGGATTTTACCATCATAAATACTGTACATAAAGACAACGCCCACGGTGGACCACGGTGGACGTCTGTGCTCTGACAGTTGTGCAGTTATAGCCTAGTATCCATCCTAGCTTGGTGCAAATGGGCAACGGCTAGAATAATTAAATGCCCTGATGAATACGCAGCCCCTGGGCCTGACTGCTCAAACCGAACACTGAGTGTGCACTGACATGCTCAGCATACACTAATGGGACTTCTGACAGTCCTGTGCATTCATCCTACAAAAACCTGAGATTGTGCCAGCGGGGACGACCTGTGACTGGATATGAATGCAGAGCGGCTTCAAATCGGAACAGTCAAAGAACTGCAGGTCTGACCAAAGCTACGGTGTCCATCATCAGCCACTTACACTGTCAAACTGTCCTTGTGCAGGACACCGAGCTGCTTCCGACTCACTTGTTGCAAATTACAGTACTTCGGCTCGGAGCAACAGCTGCAGTGAATTTTCTACAGGGAATGAGTGTGGGGTTAATGGTCAGAGAGACCATCCATTTTCTGGAAGCTCAGCAGCTGTACGTACTTGGGCATGACCGTGGAGCCGCGCGTGCTGAGGTGTAGAAGTTGAGTGACAACAGTGCCGACTGGAACCTGAGAGAAAGAATCAGCAGACACAAACTGAGGCTGAAAGCCCCGGAGCTGTCCAGGGTGCTGAAAATCAAGAGCGATTCATCCGCGCTGCCTTAATCTCTGCATCACTCAGTGGAAACGTGCTCTGTCTATCTCTCCACACGTGGAAGTGGACGGAAAATATGGTCCGCGCCGCAGCCCATGTTTCACAGTTAACGCAGCTGTCTCCATTCCCCTGGGAGACGCCGTGGTGTGGTTATGTCATTTGGAACGCAGACGTTTCATTGATTGCAGTTATTTTGGAAAATGTCAAAAGAGCGACAAGCCCAACGACGTTGACCTTTGAAACTGCATAACAGACCGACGCAAATAAAAAATATATATATATTGATTACAATTAATTGTGAATCTCGTATACATACATACATATATATATATATATATATCCACTGGGAATTGGATGAAAAACACGGAAAAGTCTCTAGTTTGCTACGATGCCGCAGTCAGAGTCAGAAAAACCGCGCGCTTGTTAACACATTCTGTCGGCGTTGTAGCGCATAAATCAACCGGGACATGAAACTCTGCAGCCGGTTCATTGAGAAGCATCACACTCGTTATGCATTCTCTACAGTTTCGCACAGACGGGAAGGAAAACGGTGTCAAACTTAAACTGACTTAAACGGAAACTGCACATTGTTGTGGATCAAATCGGGTTCTGCAGACAATTCCGGAGTTGAGGCGATTCTTACTCTGTGTACATTCAGATTTTCTTTCTCAGGGTGTCTTTCTGAGAAAGACGTGTTGCGGACGAAATCTGGAGGTCTGTGTTGGGGGGTTTGGGAGATGCCACATACTTTGGAATCACCATTACGCATTGACTTGCTCTCTCCCCTCACATTAAAGCAGCTGAAGAATTTCTGGGTGCAGATAGGACCACTCCTCTCTCCCTCTCGTCGTCCCTCCCTCCCTCCCTCCCTCCCCTGTCTCTCTCTCTCTCTCTCTCTCTCTCTCTATGTGTCTCTGCATATGTTTTTCCTCTCCTCTCTCCACAGCCGACGCTTGGTGGAGAAAATAGGGGGAGGGTGGTCTTGCAGTCGATGTGAGGAACAGGAGTTTATTGAGAGGAGAGGAGCTGCAACGGGAGGGGAAAACGCATGCAACTGCTGGGGCTTTTTATCTTGCGGATTTTGACCAAAGAAGAAGAAAAAAAAAAAGGAAACAGAAACAAACGAAAACACACCACGCCGGGGTTAATGTCCGCTTTCTGCTGAGAAACTATCGCTTGAATTGTTTAACTTGTTGATGCGACGGCACTGAACCATTTCCCTGTGTCTGACCGCAGTGACTGATAAATGGGAATCAAGTATTCTCCTCCGAGGACTGGGTTTTTCCTAATTACACGCACCGCGGATGCAGTATAAAGAGCAGCATTTCTTAAGGTGGGTTTTTTTTGCCCCTCTTTTTTTACTTAGATTTTCATCGGGGGGGAAAAAAACAAAACAACCTCTCGGCTTATTGGTGGCTGAGGTTTTCGACATCCAATTCCTATTCTGCTGCAAAGTAGGTTTCCGCTGTGGATTGTGATACGAGACTCAACAGTGCTATGCGCAACACCAGCACAAGTAAATGGCTCTGTGTGTTTTAATGTCACAAGCCGTTAAGCCTGGGTGCCACAGAAGCCTAACCGCTGCCTCCCTCTATCTGACGCTTCTTTCTGCAGATGCCATTCATCTCTGAGCCGTAGCACTGTGATCACCGGAGCAGGGTCCTTTTCAGCACTAGTGTAGGTCAGCATGGCAGCAGGTGTAGCGGCATGGCTCCCTTTTGCCCGTGCGGCGGCCATAGGATGGATGCCCGTGGCCAGTACTCCAATGCCCATCCCTCCCCAGGACAGGAGAAAACCCCAGGACGGACTCATCATCCTCAACGTGAGCGGGACCAGGTTTCAAACGTGGCGGAACACTTTGGAACGGTACCCGGACACTCTGCTGGGCAGCACTGAGAGGGACTTCTTTTTCCACGAGGAGACCAACGAGTACTTTTTCGACCGTGACCCTGACATCTTTAGACATATACTCAATTTCTACCGCACAGGGAAGCTGCACTACCCGCGCCAAGAGTGCATATCCGCATACGATGAGGAGCTGGCGTTTTTTGGCATCATCCCGGAGATCATCGGGGACTGCTGTTATGAGGAGTACAAGGACCGGAGGCGCGAGAACGCAGAGAGGCTCCAAGACGACGAGGACATGGACATGAGTAATGACGTCACGCCAGTGAACCTGACGTTTCGGGAGTACCTGTGGCGGGCTTTTGAAAATCCCCACTCCAGCACCTTAGCTCTGGTCTTCTACTATGTCACAGGATTCTTCATTGCCATATCAGTCATGGCCAACGTAGTGGAGACGGTTCCGTGCGGGACGCTGCCCAACAGGTCCAAGGAGATCTCCTGCGGAGAACGTTACGCACTGGCCTTCTTTTGTTTGGACACCGCGTGCGTCATGATCTTCACTGTCGAGTATCTCCTGCGTCTGATCGCCGCGCCAAGCCGCTACAAGTTCATGAAGAGCGTGATGAGCGTCATTGACGTGGTCGCCATCATGCCTTACTACATCGGCCTGGTCATGACTGACAACGACCAGCTGAGCGGCGCTTTTGTCACGCTCAGAGTCTTTCGGGTCTTTCGGATTTTCAAGTTCTCCCGTCACTCGGCCGGGCTGCGCATCCTGGGCTACACCCTGAAGAGCTGCGCCTCAGAGCTGGGCTTTCTGCTCTTCTCCCTCACAATGGCCATCATTATCTTTGCCACGGTCATGTTTTACGCAGAGAAAGGCTCCCCTGCCAGCAAGTTCACCAGTATCCCCGCAGCTTTTTGGTACACCATTGTCACAATGACCACACTGGGGTAAGTCCTGAAGCCCCGGGAACAACACCACCCATCACCCAGCGCACTCCTGCTGTCCTCTAAACACTTCCAAGGTTTTCAGTAAAAACAGCACCAAACAAGTCACCGGTGGTTCAATTACAATGCCAACATGTAGTCATCATTTTTCCAAATTCATGAGGGTTGAAATTACCTTGTTGAGCGACACAGTGCCTAATTATCCCACATATGTAGCCATTGTTTTAGCAGACAGTGGAGCGGCCACAGGTGGGCATTTATAGGGCATATTAACTACCTCCGTCGCTGTGCAGCCAATCAGAGCTCAGCAATGATGTGCTGTGGAGAGGCTTCTCTGCAACACTCGCTGCCTATCAATGAGCCTGCACCTCACATGCGTCCCACTCATACGAAGGTTAAACCTCGTTTCCGAATGGCCTTAAAAGGCACATGCTGGTTTGAAAAAGGTCAGCACAATGACCGTGAACATTCTTTGCAAACAGTCAGTCGCAGAGAGTATAACAGGGGGGAAAAAAAATAGAAAAAGAAAAAAAAAAACATTGCTGAATAGATAGAAGCATCCCAGAAGGCTGCAGACCAGAGCAGGCACGATTTCAGTGCTTTTAATTAAAGACACGCAATGATGTTGGCACTGCTCTCCTCCAAAGAACGTCCGATTCCATTTGTTTGCACTTTCAGAATCAGAATCCATTATTTAACCCTGGTTATAAACAGTTAGCATCTTAACCCAACATTGACCTAATTAGGGCCTGTCTTAGGGATCATAGTGAATTGAATTGGAGCGTAAAAATGAAGTTGTGCTTCAGTAGAACCACTTCAGAACACACACACACACACACACAGGGGCACAGTCACATACAAACATACACATTTATTGATTCATACAGAAATAGGAATTAGCTTTTCACAGCTATTCCCATTCCACTGTTTGTTTATTATTTATCTAGTTATTGATTTTAACCATCAAACTAAGTACCGGTATTATACTTTAGCTAGACTTACTTTCTTCCAAAGAAAACAACTGAACAAAGAAAACGCCTTGGAGCATAACTAGTTGTTTTTTTTTATGTTACCCAATTAAAGCACTGTAAAATGTGCAGTTCGACCATTGAAAACTCCAACAAAGGTGAACAAGGAAAGGAGTTTTTGAAACGATTGCGTCTACTACCAGGCTCTACGTTGCTTTTTACTACTTAATTATATTATCAATGTTAAATATTCTCTCTCACACACACACACACACGTCTCTCAATCTCTCCGTCGTCCTTCTCTTAGACGACACACAGTAAATGTCTGAATGTTCAATTTCATGGCCGTGAACATTGTCAGTTGTACTGTGCTGATGCAGCATAAAATAATTAAACGTGGTTAAAGCGATTACATCAAATTAATTTGTATTGATGAGCGCACCCAACCGCTCAGCTGCTGAGCCCGGGTTATTATTATTGTTGTTATTATTGCCATTATTCACTCCGGAGCCGTGCGCTATCCGAGGTGCTGAAAAGTTGTGTCAGTGGGCCCACTGTGGATGGCGTTTGGGGCTTTATCTGCTCAAATTAACAAAATGAAAGCCGCTGGCCGCCCGGAGCATGATTACGAGTTCTGCAGTGTGAAATAATAATAAGACCGTTTCTCGACGGTGTATAAAAATATCCCAGTGCCTTTCCCCCCCCGCCCCCCCACACGCTGTTGTGTGCGTGAGGCTGTGCACACAGCCACACAAGAGATGCGAGTCCCCTCCCACTCCTCTACAGTGCTGGCACAGAAATGAGGTCCTGTTGAAATAATGTTGTCTTTTAATTTCAAAGTGATCAACATCAAAGATCAAACACTGCAAAACAAATTGCCGGAAGGTGTTTGTGTACACAACCGTGTACTCGTTCTGTGCGTTTGCGGGCCTCTTGCAGTGTGTGGAAGTAGATCCTTGAGATGTGTCATGCACAGATGGATAAAGAGTTAAAATGCACGCGCTTCTGCACAGACCTAAGGGGAAGATTCTGACACTGAGGTATAAACGGTAAATTACCTGCTTGGTTTTTTTTTTTTTTTTATTTACTTTTATTTACTCAGCCTATTCTATATCTGCTTTGCAACTGGATACACTTCAGATTCACCTAGGGGGGTACACTGAAATCATTTTGAATGTTGTCATTTCACTGGCAAAACGTTGCTGTGATGAGAACTAAACCTACCGTCATTTCAAAACGAATGCTTTCCAGCTTCCCTACGCACTTATTGAGTTCAAGTCAAACTATCACTCATCCTAGAGATGTCTAATGAGAGCGTAATTAGTGACGCGCAAGGACCGTGGATTGAAGCTGCCACCTCAAGCCTAGTGTTGCATTAGTTATGCGGGCCTTTCATAACCAAATGACAGATGAGTTGCCTCAGCGGACGCGTCGTTTGCTTTATCTGTTGCACCAATATCGCAGCATTCGACTTGGAATCAACACGGTTTTGCTCAGATACATTTTCAAAAAAAAAAAAAAAAAGATGTTATTGTGTGCACAGACCAACCCGTCCTTGGTAATGGGGACATTTCTGTCTCTCCATTGTGACCTGTGACAGCCTGCCTGACAGATTTGCAACCTGAATGGTTGCAGTGGTGCAAAATGCTGCATGGTGGGCCACCGGTGAAGAGGCTGTTGAAAAGCCATCACTGAAAGACAAAGTCGGCTCCTTTTCATGATCCATCATTCTCTCTGACTGTGCTTTCCGAAACGCATCGTATGCAGCGCCCGCAGCACTTACTTGTAATTGTCACTGTCAACTAAAAATGGTGGAGCAGGGGGAAAATATTTGCAGTTAAACTCTCCTCCAGGAACCTGTGAATACAGATCTCATCAGAACAGAGGAGTTTCAGTCCTTGACGGGCAGCAAAATGGAACCATGTTTAACCAAATAGATGTTCTTTTCATTTGCTGCCAGATGAGTTCTTAAAAGACCTGCGATGGCACTAACATTCTATTTGAAGCCTGTGAAAGCATTTGATTTCATTCTGATTGTCAATGATATTTTATTGCCGCCCTGTATCACCATGCCTTTCCACTACATATATTTTCAATTTTCCCGACTCACGCCCTGAAGTAAAGACAGTGGTGCGCGTTCCCTCCACTGCTGATGGCCCATTGATTGTGCTTAAGCAGACGTGCAGATATTGTGAGAGCAGGGGCTTCTGTTCAGAGGCACTTGGCAGGCAGCCTGAATGGTGCCTGGAGACCAGTGGAGAATCAATAGCACTGTGCAGCTGTGTGTCACGCCTCCGTGTCTACTACTCTGTAGCACCAAACACAGGAAAAGACCTACTTATCCCTCCTTATTTATTGAGTCTAATCTCCGTAGCTGCATTCGGACACCCCACAAAGTGGAATTTGCCTCTGTGAGAATGCTTCCGTGAAGATCCACAAGAGGTGGGAGACTATACTATTGAGTATAATTATAATTTTTGGGGGGATTTGATTTCATTTTATACATTTAAAACAGCCACAGATCCCAAAATTAAGCAGGGATTGCAGGTTTTATGTCGGTGGGAAATGCTGCAGTGTGCTACAGTTTTTTTTTTTTTCTGAATGACCCACAAAGTCAGGATGAATTAGCTGCACGAGGAAATGTTTGGTCCTACAGATCTGTTAAGTGATTTAGGATGCAATGGAGTGCAATGCTTAGAGCGACTGAAAAAAAATAGTTAAAGTCAAGTGCATGCCACCGAGGAAGTGGACAAGAGAGGACAGGGTTTACGCTGCCAGGAGTGCTCACATGCCAGTCTGGAAACTGGTTTGAAAATCAAGTTCTTTTTCGGTATAAAACACAGAGATTGCAGTTCTCTCTTGATTGTTACAGCAGGTGGAGCTCTGAACACTCTAATATAATACTGGAAATATTTTATCTTCTATTTGCTTCTATCTACTGAGACTCAAGTTAAAATTATAGGATTACCAACAAGATATAATATAATGCTGTCTATTTTTGCCCGACTAGATTTAGACCTTACTAAGGTAGCTTAGCTACTGCAATGGTTCATCACAACAATACAAGGACGGCAAAGCCACAACCACCACGAACCATATGCATCAATAGACAAATAAACAAAAACTTATTTTCTGAGAAAAAAATAAAAACTTGAAGTAATGAGTCATCTCTCGAACACCAAAACTGCTCATGGAGAGGAAAACATTAAAAAATAAAGTAGAGACATATATATAATGCCATTTTTGGCCATGTGACGTGCCGATACCAAATTTTGCCACTCCCCGTTTCCTTCTCTTGACAGCATACACCGAATGCAACAAGTCATTATAAACCATTTTCTATGAACGCTCAGTCAAGGGTTCCTTCTTCAGTTCAACAACTAAACTTGAATGAGGCGATAAATGAAAATGGGTTCCAGTTTATCCAACTTTCTGACAAATCAAACCTTGCGCAATAGTTCTGTATAATCTGTGTCTATACGATGAGCAGTTAAAGTCAACATGGACATTAAACTACGATTACTTGGCCAAATGTCAGTTAAACAAACAAATTGCTGCTTCAGGGTTAGCCTTCAGCGGGATGTTAAAGCAGCATAACACGACTGTAACGCCAGGCCTGAAAACAAAAAGGCACTGTCCTGTTGTTACCAATTTTAAACCAGGCATGTTCGGCTGGATGATGGTGAGTTTGGTGTCAGATTATTGTGTTCCATAGATTAGCGGTTAGCATGCCTGCCTTACAAGCAGACAGTCCTGGGTTTGATTCCCAGAGGAACAGCATACTTGGCACCTCTGAGGTGCAGCCTGTTGCAGCAAGAACTTCCCAAGTATGGGGTCAGTATTGTTCAACTTATTATTAGGTGTGTTGTTCCAAACTACTTTGTAGCAGCGTCTCCACAGTTAACCTCACTGTTGGATATACAGTATTATAAATAGTTCGCTTTTGTGGTTCAATGCTGAGAATTTCAAAGCTAAGGATGTGTTAGCTTTAGCTTGCGAGTGTGAGCTTATTTGGTTTGTATTATTATGCAAATC